AATCTCTGTCCATCAGATGAATAATCTACTGGTCTTAAGGTGACTTTTACTTTTGGGGGATATATAATTTCCTTGGAATTACTAGTCTTAGGAAAAGCCACAGTTATTTTTCCTAGGTTAGTATGTTATCTTCAGTTATAATTTTGATATAAGAGCAAAGAACAGATTGTGTCTAGACCAAGTTACATTTATAACTTCAAACAATTGTACTCTCTTAGACTTGAGCAAAGACATTTTAGAGAGAAGACTTTTAAAGCCTTTCATCTCTCCCTACCAAGTATAGTTGACATTTTAAGGTCTAAATAACCAAGGATGTTTGAGCACATTCTTTGGCAAAGTAGTTAATATTTCATAATCAGTTTTTTGGGATTTGGACTATTGAAAGAAAGTTTGTGATACCATTCTATGATGTCTGTTAAACAACTTATTCTTATCAGTGAACATACAAAGTCTCTGCATCAGTTCCTCCACTAGGAACTGAAGATGATGAAAATTAATTTTAAATCCGGGAAATGAAAGTCTTTGAGTTCAGACATTTTCCATAGGCAAAAGCAAACAATAAAACTCTGAATAATTGACATTCCTTCTCTGGAATATGAATATTGGGTTCTCCATAGCAAGTGTAAACTTCATATTTGTGAATTACTCTAGGGTGTTAGTAGATTACTATAGAGATAAAGACAACTAAAGGAAATTATTGCATTGTCTCATCAAGGGCATTTTAAGATAAGGTTAAATTATGTCATTAAATGGAAAGATATCCCATGTTCATGAATTGGAAGACTTGATATTATAAAGGTGGTGATACTACCCAAACTGATCTTCAGATTCAGTGTAATCTCTACCAAAATCCTGGTGGCCTGTTTTGCAGAAGTGAAAAAGTTGATTCTAAAATTCATATGGAATTGCAAGGGACTCTGAATAGTCAAAACAGTCTTGCAAAAGAAAGATAAAGTTGGAGGAATCACTCTTTCCAATTTTACTTATTTATTTTTATTTTAGAGCACGAGCAGGGGAGAGAGGCAGAGGGACACAGAGAGAGAATCCCAAGCAGCGTCCATGCTTAGCATGGAACAAATAGTCCTGGGACACTGGATATTGACATGCAAAATAATTAAGTTGGAGCCCAACCTCACACCATATACTACAAGTAACTCAAAATGGACCAGAGACCTAATTGTAAGAGCCAAAACTCTTAGAAGAAAACATAAGGGTTAATTTTCATAACCTTGGATTTGTAATAGATTCTTGGAAATGACACCAAAAGCACAAGCAGCAAAAGAAAAAATCGCTAAATTGGACTCCCTCAAAATTTAAAACTCTTGTGCATCAAAGGACACTGTTAAGAAAGTGACAAGAAAATCTAGAGCATTGGAGAGGACATTTGCTAAACTAATAAGGGCCTTAGTATCCATTATATGTTAAAAACTCTTATAACTCAACAACAGAAAGACAACCCAATTAAAATATGGGCAAAGGCTTGATTGGACCCTTCTCCAAAGAAGATATAAAAATGGCCAGCACACTTACGAAAAGATGTTCAACATAATTCGTCATTAAGGAAATGCAAATAAAAAATCATAATGAGGTACTACTTCATACCTACAAGGATGGCTATCATTAAAGCAAACAGACAGAAAAGAAGTGTTGAGGATGTGGAAAAATTGGAACCCTCGTGCTTCACTGGTGAGAGTAATGATGTAGCCACTGTGAAAATAGTTTGGCAGTTCCTCAAAAAGTTAAATATAGAATTACCACATGACCCAGAAATTCTACTTCTAGGTATATACCCCAAATAATTGAAGATAGTCAAATAAATACTTGTACACAGATGTTTATAGCAGCACTATTCACAGTAGGTAAAAGGTGAAAACAACTCAAATGTCCATCGATGGATGAATGAACAAAATGTGATATATCCATACAGTGGGATATTTTTCAGTCATAAAAGGAATTAAATACTGATACATGCTACAACATAGAAGAACCTCAAAGCATCATGCTAAGTAAGAGAAGGCAGACACAAGAGGTTACTACCCGGAATAGGTAAATCCATAGAGATTTAGTTAGTGGTAAGCTGGCGCTGGAGCAGGGGGGTGGTAGTGACTATTTAATGAGTAGGAGGTTTCACTTTGGGGTGACTAACATGGTTTGGAACTAGGTAGAGGTGAAAGTTGCACAATATTGTAAATATACTAAATGCCACCGAATTGTTCACTTTAAAATGGTTAATTTCATGTTATATGAATTTTTAACAAATATGTCATATAGTTTTTATGATCTCATAAATAACTGTGACTTTGCTGTCATAGTTACCTTGTGACTGTTGGAACCCATGTGCTTTGCAGCGTTTGTACACTGGGAAAGTTCTTTCCAGCTGTGGACAGGAAAACTCGAGGACGGATGATCCCAAAAGTGGGTTTCTTTCTAAAATAACAATTCAGAAATATAGTTTTGTTTTTCCATTTTTATTTGTAGAAACTGGTAAAACTACCTTGAATGGGCCCTGGATTGTTTTAAAATGTGATATGGACTAATGTTGGTTAGTTTCTTCATTTAACTTGAAAAACTATGTTTAAAATAATGTTATATTGTTTTTTTGAAAATTAAGAGTAATTTTAAGGAACCTATGATGTATATGTGCAATTGCAATTTTCTGATGGTTTGTTGCCCTGCATGCTAGTGATTTTTCTGACAGTTGCTAAAACTATCACATGTGCTTTGTATTGTCAGAAGAATTGGTGTCAGATATAAGAAAGTTCTATCTTCAGATCAGTCAGGCAGGGCTTGTGCGAAAACTAAAAAACTTAGTTTTTTTTTTTTTTTTTTTTAATCTTATGCCTGTTTTCTTTTTGAAGGAAGGACTTTAGGTTAGATTTGGCAAAATATCTGGCATTGAGAAGAGCTTCTCACTCAGAAATGTAGAAATGTTTTGCCAGTGATCATAAAGCTTTTCTTTATGATGAAATTGATGCTTTTGTCTCATAGTTCTGCTTCTGCCCCTGTGTTGTTTGTGGACCTGTTTCTCTAGCGGATGTATTCCTTCTAGTTGTCATGCACACTCCCACCCAATTCCTCATAGGACTCAAAACATGCCATCCGGGCTGAGAGTCTGTAGACATGAAGCAAATAAAGCTAACAGGGCTGTCGTGGATTGAACCCACAGCTTTTTTCATCATTATCATCATGTTCCAATCAACGGAACTAGAGTGTGAGAGAATAAATGCCTTACTTAAGCAAGAGCTTTGTGATTTCAAAGTTAGAAGGGATCTGGTAAGCGTAGCAAAGTATCTGGAATAAGTATAATACACTGAAGTTGGAGTAAGTGTGAGTACTCAGTTTAAAATAATTATTGCTTCTGACTTTGCACAAAATTAGGAAGATCCCCTTTTTGTTATGTTCATTGGATAATGTTTTAAAATAAGAAGGGGTCAGTTTTTAAGTTGTGAAGAATTCAAAGTTATGTTTTTTAATAAATTATTAATTAGGAAAAGTTTCCAACAAGAGCTAGTTTAACTAGACATGCTGCTGCTGAACCATGACGGTGGCACAAGAGAGCGAGGTGTGTGGATGAGGCTGCCACTTCCCGGGTGTCTGTTTGCTCCAGGACCCCGCCTCTGAACAGCAGCTTAGTGCATTTCCTTGCACAGTTTACTTAACCTTTCTGTGCCTTCATTTCCTCACCTAGACAATTAGAATAATAGAATCTATCACATATGGTTGTTACCAAGATTGAATTAGTTAATGTAGTTAAAGCTCTTAGAACAGTGTCTGACACAGTAAAAGCTTGCTGTGAACATTAGAGACCTAAGAATCACGGTGAAAGGTAGCGAGGAGCTACTTTGGTGAAGGGTGCTTTTATGTGTTTACATTCACAGATCCCAATAGCTCCCACCCTCTGTCATGTGCCAGTGCACTGTTCTATCCGAGGTTCTGAGAGCCTCTGGTATACTTACTTTAGGGCCATTTTACTGGTAATGGGCATCTCAACCAAAGAGAATGCTTTGGGAAAGAACGAACAAACTCAAAAGCAGTGGTTTTTCAACTGTTTTCTGAGACATTTGAAGATTACATGAAGCGTCTCTAGTGGTTTGTTGAAAACACATAGTTACTGTCTCATTCATTTGCTGAGAGTTACCGTATGCCCATCATTGGCCCTGGGCAGAGTGGGACAACATTGGTGTTAGGGGTCAGAGACACAGATGATGATAATATGGTTCCTTGGCCTAGAACTCACAGTGTAGATCATTTTTTGGTACCACTAGAATCCATGCTGGGAAAGCCTCAGGGTTTTGAATGGAAGAGCATCAGAAAAGAGCACATCCTTAATGGTGTGCATTCTCAAAGTTGTAAGGCCACACATCAGGTAATTTTTTCCTCTCTGTTAAACCTTCTCAAACTTAACCAGAAGAGGGACAGGGAAACTCATTGGTGGAAAGAGTGTTAAAATTACTGATTTTATGAATCCTCTAAAATTACAGATATTATGAATCATCTTGTTTTGATCTATTATCAGAGAGAATTGCGTTTGCTTTATTTCCATTTATATTTTTTTGTTTCTACTAGAATTTTTATAGTTTTGAATTGCTAGTTTGGGGGCACCCAGGTGGCTCAGTTGGTTAAGCATCTGACTTCGGCTCAGGTTATGATTTCATGGTTCATGGGTTCGAGACCCGTGTGCTGACAGCTAGCTCCGAGCCTGGAGCCTGTTTCCGATTCTGTGTCTCCCTCTCTCTCTGACCCTCCCCTGCTCATGCTGTCTCTCTCTCTCTCAGAAATAAATTTTTAAAAAAACATTTAAAAAACTTAAAAAAAATAAATTGCTAGCTTGTATTTTTACAACCACATTTTACTCTCCACCCCTGGCACTGATTTTTCCATTTGTGTACAATTTTGGTGGAAATGAAATAGGAAAGGAGGTTGATGAGATTGGGTACCTCAGCTTCCTAGAAGGTACTTATTTCTTCTCACAAAGTGACGATTTGCTGCTTCTTTCTCAGGGATGAACTGCAGCTGCTGAAGCAACAGGCGGACCCTTGCATACAGGGCGGCAAGAAATGGAGGGAGAAACTGGAGAGACCAATGAAGGGAGGAAAAAGCATGTTTCCTGGGTAAATAGTATTCTTCTCAGTTTTAACAAGTTTCTTGCCATACTTTGTAACTCTTAAGTCTTTATAGCCATATTTAGTTTGTGTGTTGTTGTCAGACATTCTTTATTTTCTCCCCTTTGGTTTTTATTGCTGGGCGCTTTGATCAAATGATTCTTTAATGAATCTAAAAATCTTTGTTGAATATACATTTTAGGTGAAACCTTAGATCCATTGATAGGAAGGTCTGCCTTAGGCTGACTCTTGGGTGTTATAAAAGTCGAGCTGTGTGTTGTGTCTGTGCTGTGCAGGTTCAGCCTGAGGCCAGCTTTTAGTCTGAGTACAGGACTTATGCTTCTGCTCTATTAAATGACTGACTTGAAAAACTTGAGCGCTCATTTGGATGCCACTCACCCAAACCACACTCTCAGGCTGCCCTCTGGAATAGGAAACCCTTTTCAGTGCTAAATACAAGACTAAAGACAAAGCAGATGAGCAAACAATCAATGTAAATAGGCCTAGCCTTCATTTGCTGAAGTAAATGTGACCTACTTACAGTTTTGGGTTGTTTTTTTTTTTTTTGGTCATTTATTTATCGAGTTGTGAACTCAGTTTATTCTATTACTAAGTCACTCATAAGCTTTAGACTTTGGCGCTTTGCTGTTGTTGGCTGTTGTTAAACTTTTTAAATAAAGGAAATCTATTGTATTATTTTTCATTGTAAAATTAAGAACTTTTCCTCAGTGTGCCAAGTAGGAATTTTTGGAAAGAAAGGGGAGGAAATGGAGTCAGTGATGGTATATAACGCCGGAAGTTCTGTGCGCAGCATCCTGACGTAGACAACTGCACAGCAATGTCACTCCTCTGAGAGGCTGGGGCCACCCAGTCCATGGGGATGTTTATGCTGTTGGAGCTTCTGGAACTTCCTGCCTTATGGCGGCCTACAGTAGGACTATGTTAGATATAGGACACATTCCAGCTTGCTCGTTCTTTAACTTTGAGGTGTAAGTTGGGTAAAATCTACTTCCTGGCCCTGTATGTCAATCCTTTAAATGAAAAAGGGCATAAGACAAGCTTATTCACAAGTGAACTTTTCTATATGCTTTCCAGTGCTCACCTTCACACCAGCTGTTCCAGTCAAACTGGTCTCCTTGCTCTCTGCAGTCAATCCAGGGTCAATCCAGAAACAGTCCTGCCTCAAATCTTTAACTTTCAGGTAGCCACATGGCTCCTGCCCTCCTTCTCCTTCAGGTGTCTGCTGTGGGGACAGAGTTAATAGGAAAGGCAAAGCCAAACTGGAATCGAGGAATTGTCTGTCATGTCAGTCTGTGTACTGACTACCTGGCAACACTGAGCCACCTTGACTCGCTCCAGCTTAACTCATTTGTCCTGCCCCACTCCTACCGGTCACGTAGGATGTTTTGTTTATTCTACACATCGTGCTTTTTCTTTTTCACCGTTAAGATCTTTTTAAAATGATCTTTGACTTTTAAGGGCACATACCATGTCACTCAGAATTGCATTTCTGGGGGCGCCTGGGTGGCTCAGTCGGTTAAGCGTCTGACTCCGATTTTGGCTCAGGTCATGATCTCACGGTTCATGGGTTCAGGCCCTGCATCGGGCTCCATGCTGTCAGCCAGCTCAGAGCCTGGAGTCTGTTTCAGATTTCTGTGTCTCCCTCTCTCTCTGACCCTCCTCTGCTTATTCTCTCTCTCTCTCTCTCTCTCGCTCTCTCGCTCGCTCGCTCTCAGAAATAAATAAAACATTAAGAAAAATAATTGCATTTCTGGGAATTTATCTCATGTATAACCTCACATGGGCATGCAGGCAGTCCTCTTCCCCCTCAGCCTCTGTTGAATCCTCATGTGTACTTCCCATCTCAGTGGCACTTGCACCGAGACTCATTAACTCTTGCTGCCGTAATTCCGTTGTGGTCGTGGGGCATGTCCCCCTCTAATAACTTGGGCAGCTGCCTGCTTCTTTGCCTAAAATGCAGTGGACTGGAGACATTTGCACAGTAGCTAACTGTATCCCCTTTCAGGTTTCTACTTTTGAACTCCCGTTCCCTTACAGCAATATCCTTGCAGTTCCCGTTCCCTTGTGAGTATCTTAAACTGTTACAGTTTTTGCATTGTGTTTTTTAGATATTTAGGTAATGAAGCATATAAGTGTGTACTGGTGGTACTCTACTGGACAGCACGCTAGAAAGCTCAGAAGCTTTATAAAATACTGATGCCTGGTCACAGCCCCAGCGATTCTGAGACAGTTTGTCTGGGATGAAGTGTAGGCATTGGCATTTTGTATTTCAGTTTTTAGTGATTTTTAAAAATTCCAGTATAATTAACATACAGTGTCATATTAGTTTCAAGTGTACGATAATACAGTGATTCAACCCTTATATACATTACTCAGTGCTCGTCATATAAGGATACTTAGTCCTCTTCATCTGTTTCATCCATTCCCTCACCTACCTCACCTCTGGTAACCATCTGTTTGTTCTCTATAGTTGAGAGTCTGGTTTTTGGTTTGTCTCTCTTTGTCTATTTGTTTTGTTTCTTAAATTGCATATATGAGTGAAATCATACAGTATTAGTCTTTCTCTGACTTATTTCACTTAGCATCATTCTCTCTAGATTCATCCATGTTGTTGCAAATGGCAAGATTTCGTTCTTAGCTGAGTAATATTCCTCTGTGTGTGTGTGTGTGTGCATGCATGTGTGTGTACATACCACATCTTCTTTATCCATTCATCTACTGATGGAAACTTGGGTTCCTTCCATAATTTGTCTGTTACTTCAGTAAACGTAAGGATGCATGTATCTTTTCAAATTAGCTTTTTGTATTCTTTGGGTAGATACCCAGTAGTGGAATTACTGGATCATGTAGCAGTTCTATTTTTAATTATTTGAGGACCCTACATACTATTTTCCACAGTGGTTGCACCAGTTTGCATTCCCACCAACAGTGCACATGAATTCCTTTTTCTCTACACCCTCACCAATACTTGTTTCTTCCTTTTAACTATAGCCATTCTGACAGGTGTGAAGTGATATCTCATTGTGGTTTTGATTTGCATTTCCTTGATGATTAGGGATATTGAACATCTTTCCATGTGTCTATTGGCCATCTGTATGGTCTTTGGAGAAATGTCTGTTCATGTCTTCTGCCAATTTTTAATTGAATTATTTGGTGTTTTTTGGTGTTCAGTTGTATCAACTCTTTATATATTTTGAATACTAACCCTTTATCAGATGTGTCATTTGCAAGTATCTTCTCCCATTGAGTAGGCTGTCTTTTAGTTGATTGTTTCCTTTGCTGTGCAGAAGCTTTTTATTTTGATATAGTACCAATAGTTTATTTTTGCTTTTGTTTCCCTTGCCTCAAGAGACATATCTAGAAAAATGTTGCTACAGCTGATGTCAGAGAAATTATTGCCAGTGCTCTCTTCTAGGATTTTTATGACTTTGGGTCTTACTTTTAGATATTTAATACATTTTGAGGTTATTTTTGTGTATGATATGCAAAAGTGGTCCAGTTTCACTCTTTTTTTTAATATTAAAGTTTTTTAACATTTTTTTTTTTTTTTGAGAGAGACAGAGCATGAGCAGGGGGAGGGTCAGAGAGAGACGGAGACACAGAATCTGCTGACAGCTCAGAGCCTGACGTGGGGCTTGAATTCAGGAACCATGAGATCATGACCTGAGCCGAAGTCAGAGGCTTAACCGACCAAGCCCCGCAGGTGCTCCTGGTCCAGTTTCATTCTTTGGCATGTAGCTGTCTAGTTTTCTTAACACCATGTGTTGAAGAGACTTCTTCCTGTTGTATGTTCTTCCCTCTTATGTCAACGGTTAATTGACCATATAATCATAAGTTTATTTCTGGGCTCTCTATTCGGTTCCATTAATCTATGTGTACCATACTGTTTTGATTACTATAGCTTTGTGTAGTATGTCTTGAAATCTGAGGTTGTGATACCTGCAGGTTTTTTTGTTTTGTTTTGTTTTGTTTTGTTTTAAAGATTGCTTTGGCTATTTGGGGTCTTTTCTGGTTCCATATAAATTTTAGGATTATTTGTTCTAGTTCTGTGAAAAATGTTACTGGTGTTTTGATAGGGACTGCATTAAATCTGTACCTTGTTTTGCACAGTGTGAACATTTTATCAGTATTTGTTCTCTCGATCCATGAGTGTGGAATATCTTTCCATTTGTTTGTGTCCTCTTTGATTTCTTTCATCATTGTTTTATAGTTTTCAGAGTACAGGTCTTCACTTCCTTGGTTAAGTTTATTTCTAGGTCTTTTATTTTTGGTGCAATTGTAAATGGGACTGTTTTCTTAATCTCTCTCTTTCTCTGCTACTTCATTACCAGTGTATGGAAATGCAACAGATTTCTGTGTATTGGTTTTATATCCTGTGACCTTAATGAATTCATTTATCAGGTCTAGCACTTTTTTGGGGGAGTATTTAGGTAAGTGTCAGCACTTTAAAAAACAGCCTGGGCGGTTTCCCTATGTGATCAAGTGTGAGGATCAGAAACACTATTGATTTTTCTATATTGGTGATGACTCTGATCATTTTAAACTCATCATAACCATGTAAAGGATTCCTTTGGGTTTATAAATATATGATGGTGTTATATATAAAAACATTTTGTCTCAGGATTTACAGTATTTGTATTTCTTGTTTGTTTTCTTGTTACTTTGTATTGGAAGGAAGTTCTGACAGTATATTAACAGTGATGATAAAATACTTCTTCATTTTTTGCTTATTTTAATGCCTACTTGGCTCATTTCTTCTTTGAAGTATAATATTGGCATTTGGTTTTAAATAGACACTCTAATAAGAGGAAGAAAGAACACCTTTATTATTCATTTTAGAATTTTTACGTTAGGAATAGGTATTGAATTTTAACAGCTGAATTTTCGGTATCTGTTAACATGACACAATTTTTTTTTTTTTTTTTTAGTGTTTTCTTTTTTTTTTTGATGTTTTTATTTTTTATTTATTTATTTTTTTTACAAATAGT